TTGCAGCATCACAGAGGGCACAGCCAAAGACTGTCCAAAAGGAAGAGAAATTACAAATGACTTGGAACGGGTGTTAAAATGCACCATGTATTTTTACTGACTTTACACCAGCGGACCATGATCCCGCCTGGTCTTTCTTGCAGCTCCTCTATCTGCACTGGTGGTTGAGAGAAGATAGAGCCATGGCGGGAGACCTGGTCCCTCAGAAGCACCAGAAGTGAGTTGTCCACCTGGGCTGCAACACACGGCACGTCCACCAATGCAGGTACCTCTGGTAGACTGAAAACAAACAGGGGAAGCCGCTCTTAAATACCAGTACTGATAGTCATTTTTGTTAGCGGTGGGCACCAATTAAAATGTTTTTAATAATGTGATTAGCCGCGATTAATCGCACAAAGTGCAAAATCAAATGAATTAAAAAGTAGCGTATTGCACACGTTGTTTTCCATCAGTGAACTATATGAACGAACATGCAATAACATTTGGTCTCTTTCAGCTCCCAAAATGGCTCCTGTGTTGTTGTTGTTTTTTTTAAATAATAGAAAATTAATCTTAGTTGTAGGTCTACACAGATGCCGTAGTCGCAGCTTCACTAGTCTGTCTTTTTCTCACTGCACTGATCGTTGGTCAATCGTATGTGTCCGTACATGTTATTAGTAGAACCTGTTGGTTATGAACCCTTCATCAAACATGTTCCACTTTGGTATTATCATTATTATTATTGAAATGCATCCAAAATTTTCATTTTACTGCATCGCGTCCTCCATTTCCTGGCCCAGTTTATGCCCCTTTCTCATGCTCAATGCAGAAATATAGACACAGACCACATATATATTCTAACATTATCATTAACATGATTTAAAAAAAAATATTTGGTCCTAATTAATTTATGTGTTAAATAGATGTTTACATGTTTACTTGACATGCTTACTTGACCATCACTAGTATTTACTGTACATTAAATTAATTTTCCTAATTGTAGGGAAGGAAACTTCCAATACTCTCACAGCCAACTGCAGCAAGACAAGTTTTTTCCAGTGGGCGATTTGCGAGAGTTTGTGTCTGTCGTGTCTCTGTCCTACCTGTCCAGTTGGATGTGCATGGCCTTCTTATTAAAAGTGCCTAGTTTGTCCTCCCCAGGAACGCAGTGCAGAGCTGCTTCACCTAAAGAGGATAAGGACATAGAGAAAGGTGAACACAGCATTAGTTTGGTGATATTTCAAGTACAACATATATTAACAAATACAAAACGGAGGTCTGGGTTTGTCAAAACAATTAACATTAGCACATTTTTCACACTTTTTACTGCCACAAACAATCATCAAAAAGAAGTATTTGTATTTGTTCGTGAAGACTGTGTGACTGAATGTATTTTTTTTTTAAGGGTGAAAAATACTCCGTTATGCAGTTTACTTGTGGGGTCAAGAATCAGTATAATGATCTGGTATAATGAAACTGTGAAGGTTGTGAATGGTATTCCTGTCCTTTTTGATACCCACCCTCTCTAAGCAGCTCGTCCGCCTGGCTCACACCATGCTCTATTAGGCTCTGACACTCATCTAGTGGTTTGACACTTTCGGCCTCAATGGTGTCCACTTCAGATAGGAGGGTGGTCAGACGTTCTGACAGCAACCGGGTCACGGCTGCCTGCAGCTCCAGGAAGTGCCTCCGGAGGGCCTCGCGGGCCTGACATGAGCTACCCTGAACCTGCAGAGCAGAGAGGACAGGTAGAGCAAGTTAGAAAAGAAGCCAGAAAACAAGCAAGGGAAATCATAGTAGACAATCTAGTCTTTTTTTTATAAGTTCATAATGTATCCTTGCCAGGCCTGACTGGCCCTTTTAAGGTGAGAATTTGTGTAAAATCATTATGATATCAATACGGGGGGGGGGGTCGTCAACTTACTTTAGAGTGACAAATCATGTAGAGGAGTCCCAATGATTTATAATTCATAATTATTTTGTTATGTGTGCCGCCTCTTTAGCATTTTACACCAGGTATGTAAAATGTTGCCAAACGTCACGTTTTTAATTCAGCAACATGAACAGACAGGAAATATCGGCATTTGCATTAACCACATGTTGGACCCACTAATCAAGGGTGCCACCTTACGGAAAGTAGGCAAATGTATCTTGTGATTGCAGAAGTGTCTCGTGATTTTGCAACCTTTGTGATATGTAAGGCGTAAGAACACAGACAGAGAGAGACAAACAGAAAAGATGTTAGAAGATTCAGAACTGTATTTTTGAAATGGATAATAATAATAATAATAATAATAATAATAATAATAATAATAATAATAATAATAATAATTAAACAGACACTTGGAGACAGTGTTTGCATTTCACAGGGCAGATGGATTGGGGTTCAGTTTCAGGGGCAGCACAAAGACCTTGTGCCTGAGGCGAACGGCCATTAGTGACTGATGCATGGACGCATTTTTTTTTCTCAGTGTCGACAGTGAAAAAGGTGCATTTTAACGTGGTACAAAGTGATATCTCTTAGGATGGCAACTCAGTGTCACCGCAATCTATCAGGAAGTGGTTCGTCCTCAAAGTCCTGCTTTCTGTTTCATTTCCGCTCTGCGACACAAACACACAAAAGTGTCACTTGACACACGACCCGATTCTCTGCTGGTGATCATGCCGTCTCTCCCCGAAGACATTAGCACGCTGCTGATCAATACTGGGAATAAAAATAAGAAAATAAAACGATGGTTATAAAAGATGCACTTGCCACAGTTAGAGGGTCATTGTTCTGCAATCTTACAAACTACTGGGGATCCTTGGTTGACAATGTCCTCGACCTACGTCGTTTTGTGGTTATGTCACCATCTCCCATAAATGGATTAAGAAAGTTTTATTCCATCATTTCAGAGCACAGTGTTAAAAATAAATCTGCACAGGAACTAGTTGGCAAGCGGAGAGGACAAATACATTTATCAATGTGATGCTATACGCAGGAGATGGGTTTGTTTACATTTGCCTGTTTGCAATGGTTGAGAAGAGAGGAGAGAAATGGCTGCCATCATTCGCAAATAGAATTGACGTTTCAACGTGAAGTCTTAGAATTGAATTGCATTTCAGCCGCAGTCGTATATCAGACATCATTAATATATATTTAACTGCTAACATATTGAATCACCTTGTTTTCATAAAGCCGTAGGTGTAGTAAATTGGCAGGTTCTGACAAGCACTTGCGCAGTCAAGTACGACGAGAGCACTCGCCATTCTGGCAGATATGGTAGACCAACAGCACACTAGACAACATAGTGTGTTCGAGCCAGACTCAGACCCAGTACAATAAGAAGCTTTAGGAGAAAGTAGAAAGCCAAGAAGGAACTTGGAGGTTTTGGAGTACATATTGAATCACCTTGTTTTCATAAAGCCGTAGGTGTAGTAAATTGGCAGGTTCTGACAAGCACTTGCACAGTCAAGTACGACGAGAGCACTCGCCATTCTGGCAGATATGGTAAACCAACAGCACACTAGACAACATACTCTGTGTTTGAGCCAGACTCAGACCCAGTACAATAAGAAGCTTTAGGAGAAAGTAGAAAGCCAAGAAGGAACCTGGAGGTTTTGGAGTGTTTAGTATTCAAGTTTTTTTTTACTCTGATATTCAATATGGACATTAATGGAAGTCTATTAATGGTACCGTCTCACTGGCTGTCTTCCAAACGTTGTTTCAGATGACAACCCCCCTTCTAGCGTCTCAAATGTTTGTATAATACATATACTGCTGTTCTGAATGAGGAGCTGTGTTTAGCAATTAGATGGTACATGACATCAAAACTGTTTTCTTGAGACACATTTCCATTTTAGGCTGATTGTAACACATCTACTTAGTTGCTGAAACTGGCGCTTAGGTAAAAGGAAGGCACTTCCTGAGAGACTCAAGTATGAAGTAAGTAAGTATAAAGTATGAAGTAATTTAATCAGAGTTCTCCAAAAACCTCCAAAAGTGTGTTATGTCTGGATTGTTAGTTTTAACAACTGAAGCTCAAGTGGTGTTTAACCACTGCGTGTACTGTTAAGAATGTAACTGAAGAATTCTCTTTAAAGTATTCATGCAATACTCCTCTAAAACCCTGCTATACTCATGAAAAGAAAAAAAAACATATTGGTCTAATGTTCCGGTTACGAAAGAGAATTAGTGTTGTACCTAATTTTTAAATGAATATTTAAGGGTGAAATAATTATTTCAAAAATAGTTCATGTTGACCATTTCAGTAAAGTATTAATGTCATATTTTTGAAGTGCTTTGAAGTACATTTTATAGAGTAAAAGTTCAGTTTGGATTTTTACAAAAAGCATTCTGATTGGTCCTCCTGCTGTGCTGATAAATAAAATGATAAACAACAATTATCATGGTTTTTTTTTCAGTTAGATTTCAAACACAAATAGCTGAACTTTGGAGTTTATTTAAAAATAAAAAAAAGTATACACAATTACCAAAAAAAAAAAAGCACAATGTCAGACGGACAGTTCACCAAGCATCATCCCCCGCCCCCAAACATAAAGATGTGTCATTCCAATGACAAAATATCAACACTGAAACAAAGCAACCTTTTTTAACATAACATGTGATGGGGCCAAACAACCACTGAACAACATGCAACAACACAAAAGAGCTCCTCGGTTAAAAATGATTTGGCTAACTTTGTAAATGTAGTGAAAGAAACCGTTTCTGTCAAACTAGTGAAACCCTTACTCAACAAAAAAAGGGGGGTCTTGAGACACCAACTCCAACTCCAAGATGCTAACAGTGGCGCTCAGGTGTCAGGTCCCACTGACCGTACAGACATCTCAACTACGTTAAAAATATTCCTAAGGTTCATTGCCCTTATGACTACGGGTTAAATACCTGAAGTTTTCAACAAGTTATTCAAAAATAAGGAAGTATTTTCTTACTCCTAAACTTCTAAGAATGTCAAGATTTCAAATTTTAGACATCACCAATTAAAAATCACACAAAAGAGGAACCACCAGACAGACGGCCTGCTGACAGACCAGTGTACCTGAGTGCGAGCCTGGCTGAGGCCATGCAGACGAAGCTGTAGTTCACTTCGGTAGTTCTGTGCCGCTTCAATGCTTTCTTTTGCCTCTTTCAACAAAGTGTCCATTTTTAATGTCACAGCCAAAACCTCCTGGAAAAAAAACAAACAAACCCCACAAGCAATAAAATTAGATCAGCAACTTAGTATTGGTAATCATTCATCACTTGCTCAACGTGAATAGTTTGTCTTTTCATTCACCAACATAATTGTACTCTCATTAAACATAACTGTCTGCAACATGCACAAGTTGGGACAAAGACATGTTTACAAATGAGTCCTTCCTACTCTGATCTGGGAACTCACTGGACACACTGTAGGTCCATGTGTAAACACATATCGTGTACATTTAATCACTCACTACTGCTTGTAGCATCACGGGAAACAACAACGTTGTTTATCTCTTAGACATTTTTCTTTTGCTGCCTTCTTCTCAATGTACTTCCTCATTCCGGGAGGCTACATGGTATGGTGGTTAGCACCTTTGCTCAACAGATTAAAAACCATGCGATTGTCATCGACAATTAAGTTTAAAAAAAACAAAAAACTTTTATTGAATAATACATATTGGTAAAATCGTCGTTGAAATGCTAAATAAGTTACGGTTTGTCGTCACGGTTTGCCACTGTTTGTAAATTACATTTTAAGTTACCTCATTTTATATTTGTTGTTTACATTGTATTGATGTGTAAACGCCATTTCCTTAATAGCTGTTCTAAGGAGACCAACGTATAAATTGTTTGCGTAACAGCAACTTCAACGTGAGGAAATGTCAACCCAAAGATACAATTTGGGCTGTCAAAAAAACATACCACATACATTTAAACTGACTGAAAACCGGCACCATTGTGCAAATGCCATTTTAGTAAATAAGTTAAGTCTTACACTGTTTTATTTTTAGCAAACCCGTGGTAGAAATGGTCGACCAACGAAATGAACTTGCGAAATGTCATCTTCAAAATGACGTTTAGCTTTGCTCCATTATAATATTGACAACAGCAAAAGAACAACAAAAAGGGGAGGAGAGGTTGCGTTGCAAACGCTTCTAAAAGTCGATAGAAGGGAGGTTTATGAACAGCAATTACATTCTAAAAAAGATAAACATTTAGCTAACGTACCTGTTTCAAAATTTTCTGAAAAGCATTCCGTACCGAAATCTGTGATTTGGCTCGAAGCCGCCCGCGTCAAATATGCAGAAGTTTTGCTGAAGTCTAAAAATGACACTTCCCAAGCTTAAGAGACAAAAGCCAATCACAGGAGAAGTTTTTTGGACTGACTGTTGACAGCGGCCAATCGTATTGATGTAATAGCCAAATTCTCCCCGCCCCACTCAGAGTGACGTGTAGCTGATCACATTGTGTTATATTCTCAGCATAAAGAAGTATGTTCACAATTCAGCCTCACCCTATTCCATCCACAGTCATACACGGATGATGTGTGGTCTCACAGAAAATGTCGGTTATAATCGTTTTGGTCAACTGTCTTTTGTTTCTCTATGTATAGTCCCTTTGGTCAAAAGGGTAGGACACTCTTGGTCAAGTAATGTGCTCATTTTTATTTTTCATAGCCTTTATCTTGGTCTCGCTGCTTCCAGTCACATATACGCAAGTTTTTTTTATTCCAATCATATTTCGATATTGTGTGTTGTCAGGGTGAAAGTAATATGCCTTAAGGCATTCAGCTACAGGAAAGGGGGCACTTGGAGCCCAATGTGAATGTTTTGAGTTAGCAACACCAGTCGTCACGGAGGCTACAGTTACATTGGTGATTTGAGTGATTTGATTGGATGGCCAAAAAATGCCCTTAAGTCTTGAATTTATAGCAACTTTTTTTTACCTAAAAATTAAGTTTTTTCCTGTGTACACTGCTAATGTCAAGCAAAGAAATTCAGCTTAAATTGAATTTTCAACGTCTGAATACAACAAGACAGACTGGACTTTAGCATAGATAGCAATAAAAATGATTTGTTATTAGACCTGCAACCTAGCAATTATCTTTATAACAGCGCAATTTAACTATTCATAAGTAAAAGAGAGAATGAGTGGAGAATTTTTTGTACAAATATATATATATATTTTTTTATACTTTTGATATTTTCTAATGTTATTGTTGATGCTTCTTATGTACGTTATATCCCAGCTGTGGCGGAATTGTGCTTTGTAGGTTGTGTTGCTTTAATTAACGTTTCAGAAGTGGTATCTTTTTTGGGACAGAGTTCAGAGATAAACATTGTTTATCTCTTTGGAGGATAACAGATGACATGAGCCATACAAGATGAACAAGGGAACTGACTGTATTCATCTTTAACTCTTTGTGCAAAGTATGTAAAGTTCTGTGCAACAAGATTTATTTGAAGTAAAATATATATTTTCAATCTATTATTTTACAGTGTTCTCACAACAGGAACAACAGTGAATCTAAGCCACCGAGTTCAATTACACCAAAACAAAAAAAAAATATCTGCCCAGTTTTAATAAAAACTGACTACACACAAAAACAAAATTATCAGATTCCAGATTACCTCACATCCTGACGTTACCAAATGCAGAAGAAAGAAAAAGTGATATATTGCAATAAAGAGAACAAAAAAAGACATTTGACACTTCGCATGTAACAAGTATGTTCACCAAGATATCTGTCCAACACAACTGAAATACAAATTGAGGTGATGAATTAGGATGCAGTTCTCTGTGATCCAAAAATGGGGTTGTGTGCCTTCTTGAATGTGACGGTGAAATGTTTAAAAGTACACGCAAAAAGACAACCATATTAAGGTCGTTTTTTTCCAGAGTATGGAATCAAGTTGTTCTTTAACCTTGATATAGGGATGCCATTAGACAAAAATTGCAACATAAATAAGAGTACTTCTGCCCTGACAGCAACGTGCTGCCGTAGTGCTTACATATTTATGTTGGTTTTTATTTATTTATTAATTGTCTACAGTACTAGTTTGTGTACAATTCACTGGCTTGAACCATTATTCACATAATTCTGTAAACACACACAAACATATGTAGTTGAATGTAGTAGCCAACGTACACTTCTATCTACTGTCGAGGTTGAGGCCTGCATTTCTTTTTGCTCAATTTCTTTGGCACTGGTCAGAAATGTGAGCCTCTTTTGCCGGATCTCACAGTAAAATATATAGTTGTAAAATGTCAGAGGGAGAAGATTATAAGAGAGAAAAAAAAACATTCTCCACTTCTTTCTCTTTTCTCTAATGGCAGTGCATGTCACTTCCTTTCTCTCTTCTTTTTTTTTTTTCTTAACTCAGCTGTAACATATCACACAATTTCTTGGGGCCTATTTTAACGTGCTACATTAATAATGCCTACTTGCCGGTGCTTGCTTAAAAAGACCTGTGTAGTTGGTGTTGTTTGAATAATACGTGTCCTTGTATTAACAGAATTTGGAAACAGCCTATGTTTTTAAAATGAGTGACACTAGACGCAAGAAGTCTTTCACTCTCATATACAATATGAGAGTGAAGATACGATGTCCATAATACGAGACTAGAGAGACTCCTGGAAGCCGAAGAGAGGTGAGCCCATGCTGCCTGGGCTGCACAGGCTGGAGTTGTTAAAGGTTGGTGTGATTCCAATGCTACCATCGGCCTGCGTCTTCTCCCCACAAAGGAATTCGTCGTCGTCCTCCTTCAAAACCTGATGTCGCGTTAAAAAAAAAGGCAAAACACAAGTTGAGTCAGGATTCATGTTTGGTTTAATTTATCAGGTTAATATCTAATTTAAAAAAATTGTATTGCCTAATCATTTAATAATTTAATAATTCATTGGTGGGCCGTATTCGGCCCACCTTTGACTTATTTCGGCTGTTCCATATTAAGCCAGTTTCTGTATCTATCCCAATACAATTTAACATAGGTAGCAAATTATTTAAGGCCAGCATTAAAAATTTGAGACATTCTTACACAAAAACATAAACAAGATATCGCACAAACACGCATTCTTCATTTGAAACTGAACATGTGAATAAATTCCTTAATTAAAGTTATACATTTCTACACTAATGCTATTTTCCCATACAATGATTTATGATGATTAATATTTTATAATTTAAATTTTATGTATGCCAATATCCGATTTGCCAATATCGTCTAAATTTAATTTTCCGATTCCGAAATAAACCGATACAGCGGGGCGTCGGTGGAAGTTAAGTGTTGCCTGCTCACTAAGGTGTTTAAACTGTGTTTCTCAATTATTTCTGCCCCCCCCCCCAAGGGCACAGAATTAAAATACAGAATTAAAAGAGCGCCTCCTAATGTTTATTTACCGTATTTATCTGTACAAACCACTGTAAGAATTGCTGGCACCAGCATTCTGCATACAATAGCCTGATTGTCAATATACAGTAGATGAATAAAATAAGCTACAATGCTGCCATCTAGTGACTAAAACTGTGTTTATCGTTCATAATGTTCTGTTATGTGTTAAAAAGGAGTTAACAGTTACATGTATGTGAGTGGAAATGAGGAGGTGTGGTGAGAGCATGTATGAGGAAGAGAGAGTGTGAGCGGAAGAAAGTTTAGAACGAGTTACTGGAGTTGTTTCAATTAAAGTTCTTCAGAGCACCGCTCTGTTGCTGGGGCATTGCACTATTTTTAGCGCACACATCATTTGGCAAAACCCAGACAATGCGTTATTAGGTTTTCTTTTTCTTTCTTTTTTTTTCAAAAACGATCACGATTCTTAAAGATATTACAAAATATGCTACTATTGTGGGGAGGGAAGCGGAGGGGAGGGGGGGGAGATGCCCCGTTATACTGTATTGTTATTGAGGTGACTCTTCTGCATAGTAAACAGAAAGCATAACGGAAGCTGCAACCACAAACTACTACATTACATCCTGTACACCAACTAATATAACTGAGCAAAGTATTTGTATTGCACACTGACACTCATTCAGACAAAGACACTTTAAAAATGGCAACAGGCGGAAATTTTCCGATGCTATTTTACATAAAACTCTGTGTTTTAATACAACCTCCTGAACATTGAAGCAGATATGATAAAGATTAAAGCATTTACTTCACCTTTGCACTTGTGTTCGCTTCATGTAGCTCCGTGTCCACCAGTTCCTCCCACTCCTGATAGAGCGGCTTAATCAGCTGACCAGACCTGTGAACACAAACAGATAGAGTACACGGCCACCGTTACTTTTACTGAATGACCAGGAAAAACCAAAAATTCAAAAGTATGATTCTTTTCTCTAATTGCTTAACCCTCTACAGCACTACAAACTTGCCTCTTCAGCAGGTAAGGGTCAAAAGGAAAGACGCTGTCCAATGGGTTAGTGTTGGCAGTCACATAGGTGTCGCCTACAGATCTGCGCACCACAGGCAGCATTAGGCGGTTGTTTCTCTCCATGATGGTGTAGCAGAACACCACTTGATATTTCCTGTAACAAGAAATACTTAGTTTAGGTTCTTGGGTTAGGTTCAAGAGTTTGTAGTTTGTTTGTAGGATTTAATTATTGGGGAACTGGAGAATAAATACACAGAGAGTTGTGTTGTATCCGCCATAGGTTTGGGATGATAACACATAAATCAAAAAAAAAAAAAAAAAAAAAGCAAAAATCAAAGCAAAAATTTGAGTTTGACTTGAATATTTATCACAGTCCTTTCCAATATCAATAAAAAACAAATTAATTTAAAAAAAAAACAGGTGTTGTTGTCATACCTAATGTGATTTATCTGGATTAATTACAATGAAATACAATCAATGATAATCATGATTTATATGGTTTGACAGCCCTTCTATTTTTTTTTTTTTTTTTCAGAACTGGTTTTAACTATGGCACTATGGGTGAACAACTTTGTTGAACAACCATTATCCGCATATACTTTTTTTTTTTTCAGAACTGGTTTTAACGATGGCACTATGGGTGAACAACTTTTATCTACATATATTTAAATTTTTTAGGCCATTTCTGCTGCACCGATCAGACAGATCAGATTAGCGACGCGTACAAGAAGACAAAGACAAATGAGCAGATAGTGACCTGCCGTACAGCATTTCCTTTCCCAGGCTTGGCCTAAGGCAGTGGTTCTCAATTCTTTTCTCGGGGACAGAAATGTTTTCACGCCCCCCGAAAAAGTTCTCGAGTATCACTGTATGATAACAAGATTGATAACATGATGATGACACTTTTCACGAACAAAGAGGTCCTCGACTTAGTTCGGAATTCTGTTCCTACGGCGACTTTCACCATACGTTTAAACTCACATGCTGCACATGCACAACAGAAGGGTCTGATTTACGCTTGGGAACCTAACTGAAAGTGCAAAAGGTTCCCATGTGCCCAAAAAAAAAACAACACAAATAAAAAAAAAGCAAATGTAGCACAAGCCAATGTATGGTGTAACAGCAGCAAACGTAAACAAAGCCATCGAAAACGCATATAGTGGTCTGCTTTTATAAATACCATTGCAAAAGTCAGTTTTCTACTGATGATACACAAGACTGGTAGACCATATATATATATACACCGTACACGAGATACCCCCGATAACACAACAGGATGTTTTAATGTGAGTAAGTGATCCCACGTGCACGCGCGTGGCAGTCTCAAGATACCTGGTGATGGCTGCAAACATGTTCGTGACTGAAGGCAAGCACACTTTGAGAGGATTCAATGGCGACATGACCACCCGCTCCAGATTTAGACTCTGTAGATATTCCAGTCCTGTGAGAGAGTGAGAGAGTGTGAGAGTGTGAGAGTGTGAGAGAGGCAGAGGGCACAGCAAAACGAAAAAAAAACGTTTTTGGAACGGAACTTCCAGATAAACGCGAAGCAGAGGATGAAGCATCAGTTTGTGTGTGTCCTGCATTTTTTTTTTTGGCTGGGAGTGCAGACGTTTTCTTATGAACTAAAGGAGGGGGAGAAGGAGATAAAGCTGAGGAACCACTGCTTTAACGCATCACCTTAGTGAGCAGGGTCCGTCTCTTGAAGCGGGCTTGGTGCTAAATCAGAGTTCGTTAACTCCGTATTAGAGGGAACACTGACTTTCCGGTTTCACGAAGCCGGTTGGACCGTGACGCTGACTTGGTTGTCATGACCACGTACGCCGTGGAGCAAACCTGCTCCGTAGCAGTTTTAAGGTCCTTAAGACTGAGTTAAGGAGTCGCAGCTCAGTTGCTTGGAAGAAATTAATGCCAGGAGAGAATCCCGAGACCACGACTAGATATTTTAGCACTTCCCGAAAAAGTTTTTTGGTTAGAGGGTTTCCAGTTTCCCCCCCCCCCGAAAATAAACCAGTAGTTGACAGTAATTAAATTAGGATTTGATACTGAAAACTGTCTTGTGTCATTTGAATGTCATTTCCTAATAGTCCACAGACCACAGCAGAATTATTTAGACATACTGTATGAAGACACTTCGTCACTAACTGTCTGGGAAGATGATCGTACTGATCTATTATCTCAAATATGGTGCATTAGTTATTCTTCCCCGTATGAAGACACTTCGTCACTAACTGTCTGGGAAGATGATCGTACTGATCTATTATCTCAAATATGGTGCATTAGTTATTCTTCCCCGTTTGAACGATATTTTTGTATTTGGTCTTAATTTGCTGCAGTCGGGCACGAGCGCCACTCAGACTTAACTCAATTCAGGCTTCCGAGAGCTAATTGTAATCCGCTTTTGTAAAAGCAGAAAGTCAGACGTAGGCTGTGATTTTTAACTCGGGAGTTTGAAGCCTGAAGCCTGCGTCAAGAAACGGACTCCTGGCGACTGGCGGATTCGAACCTGCAACGTTTCGGACAAGTCCCTCTACTTAACCACCAGGCCACCACTACCCTTTTTTTGTAACCGAGAGGCCCTTGTTAGCTCAAAATATATTTCAGTCTAAGTTGCTGTGTATGCATAAATAATGACAGGCCGATGCTTTGTCTTTTTACTTTAAGGGTGACCTTGCTTTATATCTTTTACCTTTTTTCATGTTGCCTTCAAGTATGGCTCTGTGTCTAAAGATGAGTATGTAGAACGCAGCCTGGCAGGCAGAGTAGAAGGGCCCGTGTAAGGAAATGTCACAGCAAATCGGTCTGCTGCTGCTGTCCTGGCTGCTGATGTACTGATGGATCCAGGTGAACAGCAGGTCCAGGCAGGCCCGTACAGTGCTGCGAGGAGGAAATGTCACAGGAGTGGACCAATTAGGCGGGGGCAATATTAATCACCTGCAGCTGGGGAATGTATGAACCTACAGCAAAGGGATGAACTTTGCTCGGGCCAAAAAGCTTCCCAGGAATCCAGCAGCAGCTTGGCGCAGGAGGGCCGGCTGAGACGGGTTGTGCAGAATCTTCCACAAGTGATCGAGAAACGCTTCGCCCAACGACTGAGAAAAAAGATATTGTGTTATTTAACATTTTTGTCAGGGAAATACGGCGCGATACGGAATAGCTGAGGAAGGAAAAAAAATGTAAAGATTTTTTTAAAAAAAATTCAAGATGTAATAGCTCTGTTATTATTCCCAGGAAATTTAAGTAATTTGATAGCTAGACGGAGACAATGTTTATAATGATAATTCAGCAATAAAAGAAAGAACTTTAAAGTGTAATACATATAGAATAAAGTTAATAAAGTAAGAAAATGGAAGTTGGTTTTATGGTGACACTGGCATATCCAGTTAGAGACGTCAAAAGACACAGCAGCAACAAAACAAAATCTCTGAAAACTAAAGACAAAAAATGTAGACCTCTGTTTTCCTACTAAACAATTTAGAGAAAACAATTTAGGGAAGAAGTACTGACCAGTTTGAAGCTGCACAGGTAGAAGAGAGCGTACTGTATGTGACAGGAAGCATGTGTTGGCAGAATGAGTTTGTCAAACACACTCAGCAGGTCTTTGAACAACTCCTTAGTCCTGTCCATTTGAAGACAACCTGGGAGAGACAACACAGACAGGGATGTCCGATATTAGGTTTTTTTGCCGATATCATACATACAGTATATCAACCAATACTGATAAAAAAAAAACATCACACTAAGCTCTGTATTAGACCTGTACCGTTAACATGGCAGAGGTCTTTGATGTATGTCAGGAACATAACCATAAGTACGTCCAGCTTCTCTGCCACCTCATGAGCCATCGCCATTGAACTGGAGGACTGTGGCGTGTCCCCCCGCCTGTCTACTTCCCGAAAAAAAGGAAAAAAAAAAAAAAAAAAAAAAAATCAAGTTAACAATTATTACTGTTTTCACATTATGCAATGCAAGTATATTCTTAGACAGCCCTTCATCATGAATGATTGATGTACCGTAATTTCCGGACTATAAGCCGCTACTTTTTTTTCCACACGCTTTGAACCCTGTGGCTTTAAACAATGACGTGGCTAATTTATGGATTTTTGCGGGCTAACAAAGTTCATACCGCTAAAGACCAATGACCAATGACTTTCCTGGTAGGCTACTGTGTGTTATAGTAGTAGCGTATGATTGTCTGTGAATGGGTAACTGGGTGCGTATGTGTGCGCGGGGCGCAAATGTGAGATAACGGTAGCTGAAGTTGAGAGCAGTTTGAGCCCTGTCATGTTGAAGCGTGAGTTGTTAAAACACTGTTTATGTTCTGTTGTGGTCGGTGTGGCTGAAAATAAAGACCCCCAACTTCCCTGTTTCTGTTTACCTCTGCTGAGGACAAGCACAAAGTGAAGGGAGTTAGCGCCGGAGCTAATGTTAGCATCAGCCCTGGAGCAGATCACTAAGTCTCTCCTGTGCATTCCAACTACGGTCGAGGCGCCGAGGCAGGAAAGAGCTAACGTGTAACCAGCCGTGTTAGGTAGAATTATTTTTTTTCTTTTTAAATTTAGTGGGTGCTGCTTATATTCAGGTGCAATCAATAGTCCGGGAAATTACGGTATTCTGCTAACAAATACAAAAAACGGATAAAGGAGGAATACCACTGCGTCCTCCTACACATTACACTCAATAAAAGATGAAACGACAGCAGTACTATCTGGATTAACTGTGTACGGAGCTCTTGTTAATCTCGCAAATAAAATGATCATACAGTATATCAATCCAAAGCCTGACGTGTTGTTTCCATTTTAAACTCCGCTCTTTATTGTACTTTTATTCCGGCTTTTTATGAAACTTGCAAAATATTTTTTTTGAAAGAATCCATCTGTTTCTGCTTCCTAAATGCTTCAGTTCACTTTTAAAGCATTTAGCTTTAGTACCGACACAGCTCTACAAAAAAAAGGAAATGTTTTCTGTAAATGCTGACTCTCTCACGTTTTTTTTTTCGTGCATTTTTTTAGATGTCAGAGCTGCTTTTGAGTTTTATAAGAAAAGATACAATAAAACGCCCGTGTTACTGTGACATTGTACACAACTTTATTTCAAACTCCCTTAAAATTTGAATCTTTTTCCTAACCTGACTTAGAGGTAAAATCATTAAAAGTAGGCTTAACATTTTTTTGACCAAAGCTTAAAAATATTAAAAGACTAAAATGTCTTACCATAACAAAAAGACCCTCCTCGATCTGCTCCGTTTGCCTCTGGTTCATTGCTGCATTTTCTTCTGCCTCTTCAATATCCGACCGCGAGGCACTCACCTGAAATTATTTACACAAACATCAAACAAAGAATTTCAACGTTTTGGCAGGTGCAAGAAATAACATTGCCTTTTTTTTGTAGTTTTTTTTTTTTTTTTTTTCAACCTGAACAGATGTATAGAGCATTGTCCAGCAGAGGTGTGGACTCGAGTCTCACGACTTGGACTCGAGTCAGACTCGAGTCATCAATTTGATGACTTTAGACTCGACTTGAC